TACACATTTTCTTGAAAATCTGTCCACAAGGAACACTGAAGGAGATACAGGACTAAATTTCCTTCAGTCCTCCTCCTGAGCTCCCATGACCCTAAGTGAGGTACAGTTTCCCCCTAAGAGATCACCAAAGGCTTTCATTGTGTTAGAATTTCAAGGTCAAATATTGCTCTGAAGACTAGGCCAGAGGGTCTGTGGCCTACTTGATTATAGATTTCCACTAGAGCAGTTAGGCACTGTGAGGGGCTTTGATAAGTACGCAATGCCCAATGGTTTGCCCAATGGATACAGCATGTTCCAGATTCTTTTGGAAGGAATTCCTCCTTACAGGAGTGGCTACATAGTGAATTTGAGTCACCTCAGGCATCGATGAGTCAATTGTCACTGGCTTTGCCACTCATTTTTTGAGTAAGCTTAGGCAAGTTGTTTTTCCTTTTAGCTTCTTTGCCTGCAAAAGGAAGAAAATTATACAAAATATTCTCAAAGGTTAATATAAGAATTTAAAGCTGAAAAATGTCATAAGCCTTCTGAAAGACAAAGAACCCCAAAGCATAAATAGATCACAGAACAATAGTGATTTGATCTGGTCTGAAATCAAGGTACCATTTAGGGCTAGGAGGGGACAGTTTATTTCATGGAGTCTGTAAAAACAATAATGAGCATTCTGAGGCATTTGCACATGATGTGGTGGCATAGCTTAGGAATTAAGGGCTTGCACTCAGGGGTAAAACTTTCTGGACCAAATCCTGCCTCCATCACTCACCAGCTCTGTGACCTTGAGCAAATGGCAACTCTTAGAGCTTCTTTTTCTTCATTTGTAAGATGAGGGCCATGCTACATGACTTACTGGTTTGCTGGGAGGATCACATGCCTGACACAGGGTGAAGAATAAACAGTAGATATTGTGTTATATTAAATCACATTCGATTTTTATAACAACCCTAGAAAAGCAATTATTTGTCATCCCTATTTTATCAAAAAGGAAACTAATGTCCATGGAAGCTAAAGTGCTTGCCCAAAGTCATTCAATGAGGAGTCTTCTCACTTCAAAGCTCATACCAGACCTCAGTTATCTCTCCCATATTGAAATCTACAAAGAGAGTCCGTGTTCTCCTCCCAAATCAATGGGCTCAGGAGAAGTCACAATGCGAGTTTCAGGCATAATGACTACTACACATAAGCCTGGCCATGCAATAGTTTATAGATTTGTTATAAGCTGAACATGTGATCCAATCCGCCCAAAATGGTATACAATTTCAAGGCTTCCCCTTGGATTCCTCTGGATAGTGAATGCTGCAGAAAAGTGTAATGTGATTGAAGCCTGAAAACAAAGGGAGTGAATTCCTCTGGCCTGCACTCTGGAAGGGCCCAATCTTCTGAGCAGGGACTCAGGCAGCCTGAAGGGAAAAGACAAAACAGTTCATACCCGCTGGTACTAAAAACAGACCAAGGCTCATAAATACATACATACATACATGCATGCATACATACATACATACATACATACATACATACATACATAGATTTAGCCCTTAGGCCCCAGCCTTCCCAGCATGTTTTGGGACTTTTTTTCTCTCCCAGGCTGACTTTCTTGTTCATTTTCATCTGCTTTCCATGGGACTTGCCCCAAGCCCTGTACCTGTTGAGAAGACTTTGCTGAAAAGAGCTCAGGCAGTGTCAAAAGTCTGGGGTGAATTGGACACCTTAAGCGTTTCCTACACCAAAGTCCTTGAAATTTTGACATTCTTTAGACCTGAACTCACTAAATTCCTTGCCCGAGAAGCAGAACAAAGTACTGACTTGTGTGCCCATATGTTGCTAACCCCATGTAAGTCCTGAATTGAACACATTAGCAGTTTTAATAAAATGGGACATGCATTTCTTTGTGATTTTTCTCCTGAGCAAATGAAAGTAGGCCCAAATTACATTTCCCTTTACACTTGAACCCGTGCTTCTTGGTGGAATACTTACTGGCTAACATTTATGGACCTCTTACACCGTGCCAAGCAGTGCGTAGTTGCTTGAATCTCTGTCTCTAGTGCTTGGGTCTTAAAGCTTCAAGCATCTGTTCTCTCCCTGCACAGATTGGATCTTGATGGAACTTTAAATTCAGCAGGGCCCTTAGAGAGCACCCTGTCTTGTTCTACAGAAAGGAAATCAAGGCCCTGGGACTCACAAAGTCACACTGCTTCATAGTGAGAGAAATCGAGCATCTTAGATGTGTCCACTTTGCTCTACGTCACCCTGCCCTTTCCGTTTATAATATCAAGGGCTGAGCCCACCTGTCTTTTGGACCGTGAGAGAGCTTTTTGGAGACACACTGGTACCTGAGAGGAATTATTAAGGTGGGAAGGTAAGTTCTATCAGACACAGCTAAAAATAGGAGCCTGCCCAAGACCAGACTCAGCTAGGGAGATGGTACCGACACCAGGAGCTTCTCAGCACACTCACCTGATACCCACCTGTGCTACTGGAAGGATGGTCACACTGGCCACCTAAGGGGCAGAGGTGGGCTGATAACCAGCCGTACACACTAAGGGCAGCTCAGCCACAGCTGAAGCTGCATGAGCAGCTCTACGAAAAGAATAAATTCCACCTTTGCAGCCACCTGAGAAGTGGGGCTCTGTAGTGTGATTAGAAGGAATAGGACGGCTCTTCTCTTGGCCCCAAAGTACTTCCCCTACTGGTTCACTAGGTGATGCCTGTAACTTTTCCATTATGAAGGAATTCGGAAGTTCTAAGGAGAGTTAGAAATTATCTAGTCCACCTCCCTTAACATATAGATGAGAAAAATAAAGCCCAGAGATGTTTTGCAACTCCACCAAGGGCAAACAGCCGAGTCGAAAACTTCCCAAAGCAGGATCCCAAAAAAAATAGGTTCACAAGATGTTCCTTGAAAAAAATTTTAAAGGTTCTGAGATCAGGTAGTTTGCAAAAGGCAACATTCTCTATCCCCCTTTGTCTAGTCCACTCGTTCTCTATTTAACAAATATTTACTCAGTCTCAAAATGAGGAACACATTTTAGGGATCTGTCTAACTTGACAAAGCTGAAACTAGCCCGTGGGTATTCAGACTTCAGGACCAAAAAATACACAGAGACCTCAAGCGAAAGGACTATTCCTTGCAGTTAACCATTTGTGCTGCTTTGTTAAAATGGTACTACTCCAGAGGGAGAGACATAGCTGACTGATGTCGGTCAATAACCTTTAGTGTGCTTTACTTATCTAAGGCTTTTCTAAGTGACAGCACTTGTAATCATACGGCCAAACAGGTAAGCCTGAGCCTGAGGCTACTGTCTTGAGAAAGTTAGTCTACATGAGGAGGCTGGAAATTAAATGGGGCAACCTGGAGACACTGGCTCCCGGAGGAAAGAAAGAGTCAGAAAGAGGGAGAAAGGCGTAAAAGAAAAGGGGGAAAGTCAGTAAAATCACTCCACGAGCCTTAGCAGGCCAGTCAGGGTCAGCTCTCATCAAAAGGAAACAAACAACAAACACGGCCGCTCTAAATAAAGCGTGCCGTCCGCATCGCACCATCAAACCGCACCCTCATCCCAGCAAACAGAGGAAACGACCACTTTGGAAATTAATTCTTCTCCATAGACTTTACATAACAAATTCCTCTCCTGGGCAATCATGTAAGATCTAGCAAGGAACATATTTTTTTTAATTATAGGGAAAGGGTGACTCCCCTATCAGTAAAATCCTGCTTCAATTAGTACAATTATCATTTGGGTTATTATTTTAAGGGTTCGAAATTCCTACTTAAATAAGGTCACTTTCAATTTGGTAAACACTCCTAAGTCATCATCTTAATTCATGGCCAGTCACCCTAGGAATGCTGAGTAAGTAAACAAAATCAAGCATTAGCTAACCAGCCACAAATCCACTTGAGTTTATTAATTTCACTCTTGGCAGAGAAGCAAGAAAAGGGAACAAACCATCAGAGACATTCACGCATCATTCATTCAATAAATATTTATTACATACCAGGTGCCAGGCACTGTGCTAAGCTAAATATAGGCTTCGTTACTTTCTTAATATTCACAGCTATGTTATATACGAATGTTTTAAAGAATGAAATTCTATTTTCCCTAAAATATAAATTTTAATTCCTGAGATGATTTTTCTTTGTTTCTGCCCAAAGTGCCTTCCTCCATGGAGTGGATGATACATCCTAACTCTTAAGCTTCCAGACTCACCAGCCCCCCCTCCAAAAGACTCCCTCCTACCATCCATCAGGTAGTTAATGAATATAAATGCACACTAGAAGCACTAGAGAGGCACTCACTATTTTAGAAGTCCTAGGAGAATGCAAATGGTAAGAAATAGTTCATACCATTGCACTCGGATTTTTTTTATATACATTTGGGGTTCGTTTTAGGGGGAGTAGCTTACACTTGTTCAAAAGGTTTTTTAAAATACTAATACTAGTATATATTCCAAATGCAGACAGGGTTGTATGCAAACTGGAAATATAATCTTAAGAATATCACCTATAATCAGAAGAATTCCCCTTGTCTCCTTTCAAAGGAGCACCCCACTTTCCCACCTTCTCCCGACAACACCAAAAAAGATGGCACCTATCCAAATTCAATAATCAAGGAAAAGACGCACTCGGGGAACTGACCTTAAAGAAGTCACTTTGCTCATCAGTAAAGAAGGGAGGTGGACGGGAGACTTGCATGTCCCTCCAGCGGGCTTGTGGATTAGGGGTCCAATCTAACCTAATCCTCTACTACAGCTCTGAGGAAAGCTGGTAGACACACACACACACACACACACACACACACACGGTGAACCCATGCGCCCTCTCCCCCATACTGCAGGCCCTGACACCCCCAGGGACAGCCAGCTTACCGAGATACACAAAACACCCCCACACCACCCAGAAGGAGAGGCAGGACTCTCCCTCCCTCAGCCAGGCAGTCTCCTGAGGCTGCTGACATCACAAAGGTGTCAACTGGCAACCTCATTGTCATGTGGCTCTCCCCTGGCTCCCCTTCACTTGCAAATGCAGGGAAAGGGTGAGACCTTTCAAAGCCGCCAAGCGGGCAAGTTTCCAGCAGCGGTCCGGGAGTGGGGAGTGAGCAATCGGCAGAGCCACCAAGCCGGGCGGCGGGGTGTTGGGCCTCGCGTTTCAACTTCTGTTCAGTTCTCCTGTAATGGAAAATTGCTTTGCACAAAGCTAGAGTGTTACAGTTCTTTCCAGCGCTCGTCCCCCGCCCGACCCCGTCCCTCGGCAGCCTTCTGAACAGAGGGACAGCGCCCGCAGGAAGGTGGAAGGAGGGTAGTCACGGCTTTTTACTATGTCCCTTGCTTCAGGCCCTGGGCCAGGGTGGTTACTCTTTTCCTTTGGAATGGGACTGGTATCGGGGTCAAAGTGTCCAAAAAACTGTCAGTGTCAAACCCAAGAAGTGATCTGCACAGGAATACAGTTAACTGAATACCCCCCTGACATACCTCTGAACACCCGGAGGCTGTTCCTGAACGATAACGGCATCACCTTTTTGCCAGCGATGAATCTAGGACTCCTCAGTGACCTTGTTTACTTGGACTGTCGGAATAACCTGATCCGGGAGGTGATGGATTATACCTTCATCGGGGTCTTCAAACTCATCTACCTTGATCTCAGCTCCAACAACCTCACCTTGATCTCCCCATACAGTTTCGCCATGCTCAGCAACCTGGTGCAGCTGAACATCTCCAACAACCCTCATCTGTTATCTCTTAACAAGTACACCTTTGCCAACACCAGCTCTTTGAGGTACCTGGACCTCAGAAATACCGGCTTGCAGACCTTGGACCACACTGCCTTCCATAACCTCATAACACTACAGACCCTGTACCTGAGTGGAAACCCCTGGAAATGCAACTGCTCTTTCTTGGACTTCACCATCTACTTAATAGTGTCCCATCTGAACCACCCAGGTGAGGGCTTGATTGGGTGTGGGGACGAGGATGTGATGGAGTAGGAGGAAATTGTTGTAGAAAAGATGAAGTCAAAAGACGGTCAGGATGGGAAAAAAAAATCTGGGGTTAAGCTGATTGAAAGCATTCTCACTGCTCTGCAGGATCCATCCTTGGGTTGACTGGAGAGGCAACAAGGCTCGGTAGAAAAAGTTCTGGAATAAGAATCCAAAGAGCTGAGTTCTGGTCCCAAAGTCAGCACTTACTAGTTGGCTGCCCTTGGGTAGGTCACAGTTTCTCTGAGCCTGTTTCCTGATCCATAAAGTGGGGACAATAATATTACCAACCATACAGAGTTGTCATGTCAACATAAAATGATGTGTGTGGAAATGATAAAGTACTATAATTGCAAAGCAACAAAGTAATACAAAGACATTGTATTCCATTGGTTAACTATTTTAATCTGTTTAATTCAGTGACTGAATATTTCCAGAATCTGAAAGTAAATTCAGTCATTCATTGGCAGTAGAAAATCCAGTAGGAGTATGATGTATAGAAGGCAAAGTTCAACAGAGATGGAAGGAGGGGTACGTGAGCTGCCTGGACAATGAGAGAGGGAAGAGAGGCGAAGGCTTTCGATAGCTCCTTTGTCTTCAAGATGCTAACCTCACAAGGAGAGAATGCATGAATCAGTGGAGAATGGGTCAACAGTGCCCACTGTACCGAGCAGGGAGATTCCAATCTTACCGGCAGATTCTCATCTTACCTGGTAGATTTCCAAACCAGTTGCTGCCAATCTGTTCACTGTCCCCACCTGCTCTCTGCCATGGCCTCCAGTGCCCCCACTCCAGTGACTCATCCCCTGTTCTTTTCAGTGACTTTATTGTCCCATCCTCATCCTCCAAATCTCCCACTCTACCAACATCACTTTCACCCAGGGAAGTCAGAGCTTCATAGAAATGTGAAATAACTCCTCACAGAAAGCCCAGAGCCAGGAATATAATCTAGCAAAATTGAACTTTGAATAGAAAATCAAACCCTATCAAAATCAGGTCTCCTCTCCCTTCCCTGAGTGTTTGTTTTTGAAAATATTTTCATGCACCACCTTCACAAAAGTTCTGCTGAAGTTTCCACCATGAAGTCCTGCCCATGTGGCAATATCCTGGAAAGATTCCTGGCCAAAATGACAGACTTTAAGGGGATCTGGGGGAGCTGAGTGATGACAGCAAGTAAAAATGTGGCCTCCTGGCCTTCCAATGTACGTGTCTTAAAATGTCTTCCAGGCAGGGCCTGGACTATGGTGAGGCACGTGAGGCTTCTAGGATGCAAAATTGAAGGAGGCACTGACAGTGGGGATCTCCTTAAATTTTGTGCCCTAGGGACCTGGTCCTCCTGCCGGGTACTTAGATTTGCAGTAGAATAAATTAAAAGGAATGGACTTTGTCAGACCATCTTCTTCACAGTACTATTCATAAAGGAAAACAGGAGCAGGTATCTTGGGTAGATTGCCTTACCTCTCTGTACCACCCTCTCTGGGAGCCAGAGATAATGTCTTCTACTTTTCTCAATGACTGGTGCTGTGGTGATTTCTGGAAAGATCTCTAAAAGAGGTCTTTTAGAGATCTTTTGCGGTAAGTGTGGTTCCTAAATGGAATTCTCCCCAGTCAATGATTAGGTAACTAGCCTGTAGAAGAGCATCATCTTCTCTTGCCCCCTCCCGACCATACATACACATTTTTCCTTGAGCAGAGCCCACCAAGTTGCCAGGGGGACCTCCTACCCTAGCCGAAAAGGGTGAAATAGCTTGGCTTCTTCCCCAGTCCCTAAGCCTACTGCTTCGCCTCCTACTAAATCTCCTTTAATCAAATTTCTGGTTATAGAGTCGTGTGTTCTCAGAATTTTCAGGCCGACTACTTTGGATGCCTTGACTCAATTCAATCCAGGATTATGTAGGATTATAAACCAGATCTGTTTCACTGCATGTTTTCAAAAACATCAGAAGGGGCTATCTATCTTGTCAAGCCCATAAGCTCCTTGTGAATGAAGAGTCTGTCTTTTGAGGTAGACAAACCTTTCATCCACTGTCCAATGGGACCCCACACACAAACCTACAACTGGTAATCTGCTCATCTTTCTTTGCTGTTTGGTGGCCCAGAAGAACCCTCTCAGGCCACTTCATGAAGAACTATGGTCTCATTGCTCCAGTACACTGCTATTATCTCTTAAAAACAGTGAGCCAAAGGCAGACACAAAAATTTATATTTATATAGAGCTTTGCAGCTGCTGAAGTTTTTTCACACATGCTGTCTCATGGATTCTGATTTATAAACAACCAGGGTACTCAGATTATTTCATAGATATATCCTTCCTATATCCTGAAACATGGCCACATAAAGAAAATGTTCTTTACTTTGATTGTCAAACCAACCCTTAAATTTTGCGCCCTAGGACTGTGGAAGAGTCTAGGATTGGTATTTTTAACCCTATCCAATGGATGAGAAAATAGACTGATGCCCAAATCACACAGCTAGCAAACGGCGAGAAAATGATTTGAACATCTTGATTTCAAATTCAGGTCTTTTTCCATAGACTACTATCTCTTAAATCCTCAAATTACATGATAACTATGATTCTATAAGTCAGTTTAATTATAAATATAAGCGATGTTATTAGCATATGGCCACAGCATCTAAATTTCAGCTTTATTTCCTATCTGGCTACACTTGGAACTCACCCGAGACCATTTTCATTGGATAATAAGCCCTAACCATCATAAACTCATTACAATATGTCTGCAGTCCCCTTGCAAACCGAGGTTTCACCCCAATCCACCCAAACTCCAAAAGGATGACTCTAACCTCAGTGTCTGCTCTCCTTTGTGCCTTATTTAGTGTGGTTCTCCTTCCCATATACACACAATCACAAACATACACACAAACACACATGCAAACACACATACATACACACATATACAAACACAAAGAACTCCTACACATACACACCTTACATATATACATGTACACACCTACTCACATACACACTCACCCACATATTATATGCACATAACATATACACATATAAATGTATAGACACAACCCACACATGAACAGACACACATGTACACGTGAAGTAGAACACACACACAGTAAAATACATTAGATACTTCCTTTTCTTTTTAGCCAGACCTCAACATAATAGAAGATATTTACTTCATGCAACTGTCATATGATGATTCACAGTCTCTGTTGGGTGAAAAAATCTTTGCTATTGACAAACACTCTTGGTGAACCCTCAACCTTAAGCCCACCTATTATACCACATTTGCTATCAAAATGTGATCTTTGGCATGTTCTAGAATGGAGTCTACACGTCTCTCTCCATGTGGCCCCATTTCAGGATATAGGAAGTATTTCTATGAAATAATCTGAGTAACCTGGTTTTTTATAAATCAGAATCCAATTTAAAGATTGGTTTCATTTTAGACCCAAGGGGATACTGAACCTTGGGATTGGGAAATTTTACCTGTGGTACAGTATTTAGTCAGTAAGACAGTGGAATACCAGTATATAGATCCCTTGAAAAGCAAGGCAGTGAAGGAAGAGACGTCTGGGCTAACATTCAGTTCATCCATTCATTCACTTAAATATTTATTGAGCACCTACTGTGTGCCAAACAAGTGCTCATAGAGGTAACTAGCCAAGAAGCCTGGGGCTGTGTATGAAGACTCATATGACTGTGGGTCGTCTGCACCATATGCGTCCCATGGTCCTGTCAGGCAGAGCAGAACTAACCTCACTGGCCAGAGCAAGACAAAAGAGGGCAGCATGTGCGTATTGGGGTACAGCAGGCACGTGGGACAGCCTCAGCTGCAGGTGATGAAGAACAGCCACCATGCAGGCAGGAGAGCCCAGTGTTAAGAGCTTAGGTCCCAGGGCTGGCCCTGTGGCTTGGTGGTTAAGTGCGCGCGCTGCAATGCTGGTGGCCCGGGTTCGGATCCCGGGTGCGCATCGAGGCACCACTTCTCCGTCCATCCTGAGGCCGAGTCCCACATACAGCAACTGGAAGGATGTGCAGCTATGACATACAACTATCTACTGGGGCTTTGGGGGGAAAAAATAAAATAAAAAAAAACTTTAAAAAAAAAAAAAAAAAAGAGCTTAGGTCCTGCAGTGACACAAACCTGGATTATAACCCTAACCTTGCCACTTACTATTTATAGGATATCAGGTAACTTACTTAATCTCTCTGAATTTCAATTTCTTCATCTTTCAGACAAGTATAATAATAGAACCAACCTGTCTAGGGCTGTTCTAAGGATGAAATTAGAACATTTATGAACTGCCATTCACATTAAGCCTAGCACACCATAAGTATTCAACAACCAAATGGTTGGCAGATGTTGAAAGATACAGGGTACTAAGGGAGTGGCCAACATCAATCAGGTGGTCCCAGGACAAGCAGGGGACTTCAGGAAGGCTCAGCACACTTGGTAGGACAGTGTGCTCTGTCCAGGAGACTCATGTCCAGGAGACACGACTATAGAGATTTGCATGCAGAGATATAGATAGGATGTGGGAAGGTGGGCAGCAAGTCCCAGGACTCCAATCTCTGAGAAAATCTAGGAGAGAGTTGAGTATTAGACAAGTTATGAACACAGGAGTTCAGACTCTGGGAAACAAAGCCAGAAGCCCAAATCAAGGCTTTATCTCAGCCTGGGCCATAAGACTGAGTGCTGGGCTAGCAACAGCAAGGTGATTATTCCTGAGTCACCTGAATCCGGAACTGAAGCTCTACCTAAAGACAAGCCCCATTTCCAGAAACAGGTATGGGCATGCAGACAGCTTTCTAGGGATGAGGGCAAGGAGGTCAGGCCAACTGTGGGGCAGACATGACCTTGAGAGAAAAAAGTCACCTACGTGGTGTGATTTTGTGATCTGAAGAGTACTAAGCAATACCTTTGCTTCAGTATCTCCCCATGCACTGCCTACCACTAGGCTAAAATTAGCCATTAGAGATTCACC